TACAGCAGATTACATTAGACGAGTCTGTGGTCGGTTGGTAATGGTATTTAGGCTTTCAAAACCATTTGATAGGCTGGAGTAGTTAACCCTTGTTGATAAATTCAGTAACCCAGTACTTTAATATCTGTAAATATGATCATAGGGTGGTATACAGATTGAATTTTCTTTTAAATTACTAAGACCACAAACTGTCTACAAACTTCTTTCTCAGTTTTCATTAGCTTGCAATCTGCTTTAATTGTGCACTTTGAAACTAACCACAAAACATCCCACTCTTGATTTAAGTAAGCTTCTATGCAATGGCCATCTATCACTTAAATTACCAAAACAATAATGACAATTCAACTTCCAAACGGGCAATATTAACAATAAAACTATGGCGTAAAAAAATAGATGCAATTTTCAACAATTGTGGGAAAGAGAACCACCGACTTATTATTTTTCATGCCATTCATATTAAATGATTAAGTTTGGAATGCGGAAAATTAAACATATATACGAGTTTCAAAGAACGTCGGTTTTAGATCAGTGCCATAAAGTGAAAAATGAGCATTCCATCTAATTATTAGAATATTGATGGAAGTAAAGAATTGCGTGAGAACCGTTTTTGTTTTCTCTGTTATAAATGAGAGGAATCTTGTGATATTATTAATAAGCTAATAAAAATACGTAACATTGAAATTGATCATGACAACTTTTCTAAACTGATTACATTTGAAACACGGTAGGCGTCAGTGCTACATTTTTAGTTAAAGCGATTAAAAAAAAGTGTCAAATAAGGAATGGAAGCATCATGTTGCATATCTGAAATAAATTGTAAAATAATAATGGTTATAAACGCCTAATTTTCTATTAGTGTACATGGAATTTCAATATCAGATTCCGAATATGCCTGAATAGATTTTTATGAAGGTATTTATTATATATTTCAGGAAGTCCCCAAGTTTGCCGACCTCACTTTACGTCACCATTACACCCGTGGATCCACGACTCCAAATCCGTTGTTTCACACCCTCACTCTAGTTGGATCACGCCGTTTAGCAGTAAATCTTTGAGTCATCCCAGCCCTACTGCCCCTCTCACAGTTCATCCATCATCCACATCGGCTGTGGGCGGCACGTCGACCAGTTTTAGTTTCCCTCCCACTCCACCTAAAGACGGTACACCAGATGCACCAGCTTCAGCCAACTCAACAAATCCAGAATTCTCCCCAGAAAACAAACCGGCCAAAAGTGACGAGAATAATTTGTTATCTTCATCGTACCCAATATCCTCCTCGGCTCAATACAAATCTAGCAGTGATGATGGTTTATCTCTACTCTCTTCATACTCTAATGCCCCATCTTCACATCCATTTTCCTCGTACCCACCCTACATGACTGGCACAGAATACTCTGGGGGAGCTTTAGGCTTCCACCCTGCCAGTGTCTACAGAGCATCATCTTCACTCTCATCAAGGGCAAGAACTAAGACAAGATCGAGCACAGGTAAGCCGAAACTTTTTTCATTATATAATGTACGTTAGTTCCAAGCATTAATCATGAAATCAAAATTGAAGAACTTGTATAGGATCAATTCTAAAAAAAATATCATGACTGGCTGCAATGAAACAATTCAGTAGTTTATTTTAGTAATTTGTTTACGACTCATCTAAAATATTTTCACACCTCAGACACGTTCGTAACATAAATTCCCTCAATGACTAAGTTTTGTATTGAAAATATTAATTAAAATGTGCACGCATTATCGATCAATCAAAATTAGCAAATTGCATGTCTTGTACACAAGTTTTATTTGAATATTAAAAATTCTATTATTTTTGTTCTGGAATATCATATTTGCTTTGTTTTGTATCGATTTAGAAATAAATAAATAAAATTTTGATACTAAGCAATTATTGTGATATCTAAAAAACAATTTCAGAAAGCTTCCGTTTCAAAAGCCTTCAAAAATTTGAAATTGATTAGCAAGTCAAAATTCATAACCGTCTATAAAATTTTCAATTTTTAGTGGAATTACACTAAATCGCAGATCGTATGTTGGCAATCGGTCGCTTTAATATAAACATATGTTTTGAGAAATTTAGATATGAAGTTATTTTGGAAATCAATCAAGACCAAAACTGAACAAATATTATTTTAAACGTCTTTAGCGAAGATTTATCAGTGATGGAATATCATATTGAAAGATTATGTTTTCACTTCAGCAATTTATTTTCTATTACTATAATCTTATTACTAATTTTGTCCAAATGAAAAAAGTGCCAAATATGGTTTGACCAGCATGATCAAAATTTATATACCAATAGACAAACAGCGAAAACAATGAAACGATTTAAAAATTGACCTTGGTAATTAGACCGTTTCATTCTGTGACACTTCAACAAATTATATTGGCACTTTTATTATTCGATTTTATGAATTATATATAGATATTAATATACCTTGTGGACTTTGGAACAATGAGATCATTGAAAAAAAAATCATTTTTGTGGTGGAACTCGTCGGATTGGTATATAATCACAAAATTACACGTAAAACTCTAAAAATGAAAGAAATTAAACTATTTTCAATTACTATTTTCAATTTATGATAAAAAAAAACTTATTTCAGCGAATTCAGAAATTGACATTGCTGATTTAAGACCTTACTTCTTCGGAATTCGAATCTTTTACAAAAAAAGCGCCTATGCCAATTCTGAGGGGAATCTGGATAAGAAAAATATAGATATGGTTGTATCCATTTACAACGCGTTTAGTACTATGAAACGTTAACAAACACATTGGTTAATATTTATGCTACACTTTCCATGAATAAAATATGAGCCAGAAGAGCAGAATGCGTTCATATATAGAGCATATTAAAAGATGAAAATAAAGAGACAAGAATCATTCGAGTTCAATAAAGCGAAACAGGCAATTTATACGCCAATGACAAACGTTCATCGAATATTCAAAGCTTTATTGTTCCCAATGATTTTTTCGTTATTTGTTGCATATTGGTAATATCGGTTACTTGGAAACAGTTTCTTTAGTCAGCATTTATTCCTTTGGGTTTCCTTTTCCAGTGCAGTTTTTAATTTTTAAAATGGTCATGATAAACAATATCTTTTGTCAATAGGGAATTTGAATAAGGAATATTTCATCTTTCAAGTATAATTGTAGATAGTGAAAATGATATAAATTTTATGCTTCATAAATCAAAATTTTTCTGATGCTTCGAAGTTAATTGAATTTTATGGCTTTTTAGGCCAACAAACTTTGTCAAAATTGAACAAAGAGTCTAAAATGACGGCAACAGAAGAAAAAATTGTGAATGAAAATATATTTAAAACAAAAAACAACATATGCAGACAGAAAAAAAGAAATCATATTAAAAATTCTCGTCATTAAAATGTCTGTAAATATAGATAAATCTGCAGAAATGTTAAGCTTAGCCGCCTCCAATATACTTATTAGGTAAAAAGCATTGATTTATTTTGTTGGTTATGTACAGTAATTCATACATAACTAGGTTATTGACACATTTAGCAAATGAAAATCGGTAGCGTTATGTAAATCAGTCGGCAAACATTGGTCACACACGAACGAGGCCTTTAATGACATTTGATTATATTTAACATTCAAGTATTTATAGCGAATTATTAACGACAATTACCAGAAACCAATATTGATTCAAAAACGAGAAATCATGTCGTTTAAATCTAAACGCAAATTTTCCTCGCCATTCGTCTCTTAAAAAACTAGTCGATGGTTTCCGAACCATTTATTTCCGTCGTTCAGTCATCCTATTGTTTCAATCTGGCAATATTAATAGTTGCAAAGACACGCCATAATTGTACAATTTTCTCTCATTAAGGTTCTGACAGATTCCCATGACGTTCTGCTCATTTTCTGGTGATGAGGTACACAAAAAGACTCATTTGTTATGACGATGTACACAAAACATGCACCACGTGTAATTAAAGACTTAGCTACTTAGCACAATACTTATTTAAGGACTAATTATTTTCTTAACTTAATGTTATAAGTAAAAAGCACAACTAATCATAAGAAATCGAAACTCTATGTAAAATGCATGAAATTGGGCAGATTTTACCTTTGAGAGCGATCGCATAATGTTACCACCAACCAAGTCCATTATCCATGACATAATCGTCTATTGTAAAGGACTCATGAGCGACCTGCCCCCTGGGTTGGGATTAACAAGGAGGGGGTCGATATCCAGCATAGTAAAGGCTACTTCAAGTCTGCCTTTATTTCAACTTTCAAGATCTTTATCAAAATGTCTGTCAAGGAAAGTTCATGACGCCGTCAGTATTTTCAAGCCAAATAATTTACGTCGATAGACGAGGACCAATTTATTTCTAAATTCTTTAGTTTAGAATGTGTGTCTGGAGGGTCGAAATTTGAGCCCAGAGCCACCAAAAATGACTTATTTTACCGAAATTACTGTTTTTACGCCATTAAAAGACGAAGATGTCTCGCATATCACTTTAGTGGCAGTCCTGGGTTTTCTTTAAAACCATAAACTCTGTTCTCAAATACCTTTGAAAATCACTAAAGTCTCTTGAAGACGAAGTTAACATAGTCGAAACAGACCATTAAAACTGATGAAAATTAAAGAGAGATTTGAAGGAAATAAAACGCGACAGTTTTATCAAGCTATGAAATTTGAACCACCATAATTATTTGTCAAATAAAATGATAAAAAAATATTTACCGGTATTTTATTGGTCGTAGAAAAGGTCAAATAACAAATGTAAAAGCGTATATTACAAATATCAAAAATGTAGTTTTACTTCAGAATTACCTTCTCACATTTTTCAAATGAGAAATATGCTTTGCAATAGTTTTCTTTATATTTTCAGTATTCTTCAAAGTTATTACAAACGTTATAGCATATATTCTCAGCTATGTTAAAGCGTTCAAAATGTAGTTATTTGAGTAATGAAGATGGTCTTATTTTTTAGTAATTTGTTAATATATGAAATTTTTTTCAGAAGGCAGAGAGTGTGTGAATTGTGGAGCAACATCAACGCCTTTATGGCGAAGAGATGGTACGGGTCATTATTTGTGTAACGCCTGTGGTCTCTATCATAAAATGAATGGCTCGAATCGACCTCTTATCAAACCTAAACGACGATTGGTGAGTTTCCTTTTTTTACCAGAAATCATTTCTTGTATACGTAACGCTGCATTAGTTCAAACTTAATCTCCAGCAATTAATGTTGATTTGGTGTAAAAATTGACAAGGATAACTCATTTATTAGAAATCGATCATAACTTTGAGTCTTTGAACATTTACAAGTTCATCTCGACACTGAATCGTTTTTAACTTTTAGTCTGATTGTAACAAAAAACTTAAAAGTATATTAGAATTCAGACTAAAATGGCTATAATTGTGTCTAATATGCAATTTCAACTGAATATCAATAAAATAGAACACAGATGTCCTTGGATTTGATTCACCGTTTGATATGTCATGCTATATGAATCTTACGTATACATGTATATATATATTTCATTTCAACACTTCTTAGAGCACAATTTGGATCAATCCTGAAGTATTCTATACTACTTTTCCATTGTTCGATCTGCTAAGACAGAAACCTCCAGTTCATTTCGATTCACATAAATTTCATACTGATCAATATAAGAAAAATAGATATACTACTAACGTTTTATATTTACTATACTATATATAAATTCATATATAATTCAACGTCACAGATAAATAAGCTTTTATTATAATTATCTTATTAAGTTTCACTGGGAAATAAAAGTAGGTCAAGGCAAATAAAGATACATCTTGTGTTGAAAATGCATTGCTGTAAAATCTCAGTATATATTTTCTTCATTTTGGAAGCTGTAAGGAACTACAATGATTCATAGATATAAGCAAACATACCTCCAATTTGAAGGCAACGTCAAGCCAATCTGCTAAGATGAACATTAAATCAAAACGAAGAATTTAAAATCAAATTCAACAGAAGCTAATATATCAAAATATTGACCAACATAAATGACCTCATCAGAATGTTGTTTACGAAAATCTTTCTAAATAGAATTGAGTTTATCTGATGAAGCAGTGTAAAGTTCTAAGGTGCCTGGTAATTGGTAATTAAGGTCTGGGTAATTGAGATGGAAACTGACCTGTCATGCGTCAATCACCACTTGACCATAAGTTCCAGCTACTTAATGAGCCGCTATATTAGATGATTGTGAACTGTTTAATGTGATAAAATGTCTAGAAAGAGAGATAAAAATTGTCTATTTGATCCTTAAGTTACCATTCTGTCCATTCCATTCTGGCAGGGCTTTTGTGTGGTAAGGCCCGGTTGATTCAAGAATGCCTTTCCTATGGAATTGCACTCGAGTAACGCACCATTTGAAATTTTGAAGACTACAAAGTCAAATGGCTCTGGTACAGCACTTTTTTACTCTTCGATTTTTCCCATACAAGGTCGAACCCATTGCTTAAGCAACACTAAACAGATATCTTTGTGGATTGCTAATATCTAATTCTTAGTCCAAGGTTTCAATCACTTTCCAAATTAATTGCATTACCATACTTAAGTCTGTAGGCGAGACAAGTATGTTCAGAAATCTTTATAGACAGGATTAATTGGGATATCGTATGTTCTAGACATAAAGATTATTTTAAGAAGTAGTCATGAATTAGGAATAATTATTTACTTTAGCTTAAAATAAGTACAAGGCAATGATCTGTAAACGGTAACCGTAATATCAATATATTCATTCATTTATTCATTACGGTGTATAACAAGTGGATATTGTAGGCTTTTATAATTTCTGGAACACAAGCTGACTGTATTTTGTCAAAGGCTCTTCGAACTTTAAATATGTTTTTAATATTTGGTGTTCATGTTTTGCAAGTCATTCTTCAAGGTTGATATTTGAGTCTACCCCTTTTCAACCGATCTGTAAATGATTACAATGGGTGTCTGCTATCAAGTACTATTTAAAACAGGAGTAATATCGACTACTCTGATCTTTATTACTTTTAAACTACACACACAAGAAATAGTATATCGTGTTCCTCTATTCAGAAAGGTATAAGACAGGGGTATTATTTCAGACCTCTCATTTTCAATCAACACATTCATGAATTTTAATTGTTAAGTGTTTGTCATGGTATAAGTACAACTACTTATGAATTGAAGGCTATTTAGAATTTTATTGACTATTTTTATTATAATAAGCTAGTCTGAAAGTTATGAAATTTAATACCTTAATTACTAGTGAAAGGTCAATAATAAAACCATTAGAATTGTTGTTGGTTGTCGAAGGCAATATATTATATTGTGTTTGTGTATTTTATTGTCTTTTCTGCATATTCATGAGATTGAAACTGAGTTAGGAATTAAAATAAATATACTACATAATTGTTAACTGATGCCGTCATGATATAAATTCACAAAGTTGATATGAAAAAGCTAAAGAACTCGAAATCACTGGATTCCGAGATGACCATTTGTGCATTGGATTTGAAGCTGATGCTTTCAGTGTCTTCTGATTTCCATTTCTAATACAGTGCAGGTGATTATGCCATTTGAACAATAGTTAAGTATTATTTGACATCCTAATTCCCAGCTGTCGATATCGATGTCGCCATGACAGAATAAGGTTATCTCACGCTTAGTTTCTCCGTTACTTAAACCTTCAAGCTGTTAGTAGAAAAATCTATAATCTCTACTTCACTCGAGGCTCTCCTTTCGAGTTGATTGCAGGGGCGGGGCAGCTATCGAGAATTCCCCGATAGGTGAAAACAAAGTTTATTTATTGAGCACTGGATTTACAAACTGAAAGCACATGTTTAGCTAGTCGTCTATTGTCAAAGTCATGTTTAACCATCATTTAGTAAGGGCGCACGAAATCGCATTCAAGTGTCCAGGGTCTATGGGTTATGTTTATTGAATATCGTCTTGAATTCCCTTTAATGTAAACACTATTTATTGAAGATTGTCGGCGACGGGAAAAGAGGCGCTTGGGCTGCATTTGATACGGTTAATATGCAGAGGAAATGGTAGTGTCCAGACCACACTGGAGCTCTATACAATTACATCGACCTTTTAAAAACCGGTGTTCGCGTGTAGAAAAAAATTCACAAAGTTTGACCTTGGATCGGTTTTCAAAACGAGAAAGGCTAGATGAAAGATTTTATGTATTTGCTGGGATAAGTTTTCAGATTTTTTAGTGGTTAGGAGTACTAAGGTTAAACTATTTGTCTGTTATTCATATTTGTCTTTCTAAATATTTTAACAAATACATTATAGATATTTTCGTATGCCGATTTGTGGTCCAATTGTAGAGATCCGTTTTAATTAGGTGAACCACTTTCTTTGAATCAGATTTCAGTATTTTGGTTGCAGTCGGAATTTTGGAATTATTCAACCAGTTCAAGAGCTCATTGATTAGATTAGAACATATAAGAAATGAATACATAATAGTTTTACAATTTGAATTTATAATTCGAACATTATAATTTGGAAATATGTTGTAAAAATTCAAATTTAACTGAAAATATATCAAGTTTTTAAAAAAAAAAAGTTAAATATTCGCTTAGATAGGAATCTTTGATTTGGGAATGAACTAGCTAGCTATCTAGTTGAATGTTGAAAACCTTCTTCCTACGACAGATGTATTTCGTTAACTTTCTCAGATAACCAAATTGTTTTCTTTCCAAATACCCAACATTTCATTCCACGTCCTCTCAGTATAGTTTCTGGCGAAAGAACATTTAGATACAATAGAACATTTTGAGAATTTTGCTATTTTCTTTTCGAAACGCATTCATTTCCTTCACAAATTTGACCACCCTGGGGATAAAATATATTTGACTAATGTCGAACATTCTAGTAACATTTCTAATAATATTTTGATAAATAATACACTATCAAATTGAAAGTTGTAGTGACGAGGTCCAAAATAGACTGTACATGTTCTAAGTTATACGAGAGGTAACTGATAAATTACAAACGGCGTTTGTGTTTCATTTAATTTCATGCTTTTTTTTTCACTCTTTTTACCGTCTTCATTATCACACGATATTCAGAGGAGTAGGATGTAAAACTCCATTCATTTCATTTTTCACTTTTTAGCGATCTTTATATTTTGAATTTGATACTTACAGTAAAAGTCTTTATCAAAGATGCCCCCTATCTTCATAGAAGCTTCCGGCCACAGTCAGACAGGTCTTTGCTATTTTTATTTCAATTTCTGGACTCAATTTGCCGAATGGTGTTTATACTTGTGAGAAGAAAATTAATGTCTGCGCCACATAGACTTATTAAATAAACGCAAGCTTTGTTCCTCAGGCTAATAGAAATAAATACCGGAGTTTTATATAAACATTTATTCTCTTAATGTTCTTTTCAACTTGACTATTGGATTCAACTTTTATTGTGAAGGTAAACTGGTTTGAAATTTCCAATTCGAAATCGTTAAAGCTGATGCTCTGTTAAATTATTACTGGACTTGAATCAGATCGTTCAAATTAAGTTAAGGGACAATACTTTGCTTTGATGATGCATAAGAATGATATTGCAGATGATTCATTCAGTTCTGGATAGGACCAACTAAGTAAACTTTTCTTAAATAATGTGTGATTTTTGCCTAAGTGAATGCGTGTCAAATTCAATAGACTATATACGGTACGCTTGTAATATAGATTTAAAACATTAAATAATTAAAATAAAAAATATATAAACAAATGACCAGTTTTTATGGAGTTGTCTTTCTAGTTGACTGACTCCTCTTTGTTTTCTGTGGTAACAGATGTAGTAGAATTACCCCATGTATCAATCTAAATATTGAACCAACTCTGCCATCATCCGGCAAGCTGCGACTACAATTTTTAACACGTCTTCGGCTCAACATTGAAAATCAAAAGGCGAAGCGGAATAGTTGGCACATTGTTATTTTAGCGCAGCTTTTAAATTTGCGAATTACTAAATGTAGCAGAACGCCATCTACATTAAAGGACCTATTTGAATTCCTCGTGTTCGGAACAAAGGTCATTTAATTACCTTGAAACATGTAAATTAATCGCTTTTGAAATCCTGTTACCACCTATGATTACGTGCTTCCATTCAAATAGACGTATCTTTACTCTGCTAATGTCTAACTAAAAGCAGAACTGTAAGACATAAAACCCCAACTTAAACTTAAGTTCAGTTGTCTAGTTCAGGTTCATCTTTGATTGACCCATAAATGTAATTTAGCTGCCAGATCTTTATTATTAGAGCAAACTGAGAAAATCATATCAAAATCCAAACCTTCTCTTTATTTACTATTTATGTACTAGTATAGAACACCAGTTTTTCAAAAGAACATCAAACTTCAATTGCATTGTTCAATTTCCCCAAATACAAATTTCTAAGGTATTAACATTCATATAAATATTTGAGCTAGCGAAAAGTTCATTAGGTATATTTTCGTTAAAAGGAAGGCTCAGTTAATGTAAATGTAAAAGCTAGTATTTACTTTAAATATATGATCTAGACGTATCGAATAACTCTTCGTACAATATTTAAACCTTCCTAGACATATGGGGAGCTCCACGAGATCTAAGCAAGAATAAAAAGGGTGTGCGTCGTCATGTCATTCAAGGCTGTTATTTACGATATCCGACCGCATAATTGTAGTCGTTCTGTTCTCTCACGTATTGTTCAAGATTAAATCCAACACTGTGATACTCAGCTCACTGAGACTCGTCAGGGTTAACCATTACCTGTGTGAATAAAACTATATTTACTTGCAATGAACTGGTGCACAAAATTCCCAAAGTTATTCAAAGATTATTAACAATTAGATCGCTTATATATCGGTCAATGACTAATTTTGGATTACAGGCGCTACAATTGAGGCCTACCAGACTACAGGCGATACAAATGAGGCCTACCAGATTGATAAGGGGTAATAACTTTCAATCTTGTTTTTTTCAGTCGGCAGCCAGAAGAGCAGGAACAAGTTGTTCCAATTGCGGAACCTCAACCACGACGTTATGGAGACGAAACCACAATGGCGACCCTGTATGCAATGCATGTGGTCTTTACTACAAATTACATAATGTAAGTCATTTTTTCTAATTTCTTTATCATTAACAAGTCCTTCTGGATAGTCTTAGTGTCTTTTTTTTCCATAAGCTGAACATTCAAATTAAAAACACCAGGTTTAAATTTTGGCTATCTTTATTCTTACTATAAAGACGGTTTAAAGTACTACTCTGTCCATTTTCATTGCGTTTCTCTAGAACAGAGTGAAATGTTTTCTTTCTTTCCCGTGTCGGTCATACTTCATTTCGTATCTGCCAATTTTGTTGTCAAAACTCGTTAAGAAGGCGATGAAAGAAATGGCACACACTGGCCCTGAAAACATTTCATTTCAATGGCATTTCGACTAATAAAAGCTGAAATGGCCGGAAGACAAACAAATGTGAAAGAGGAGGCAAGCAACAGTTTGTATTTTTAATTTAGTTGATTTCTATTATAAAAATGTCAAGTCAAAATGATGGAAACTTTTGATACAAATTATATAGAAATCCTAACTTGAGAAATATAAACAAATTATCATATTAGCTTCAGAAAAGAATTGTAGGGATTTTCCATTAAAGTCTCTTGTTATTGTTTAAAAGGGTAAAAGAATGGCAAATTTTTGGAAGAGTATTTTAATCATTCTAAAATGACTTTAATGTTTTAGCAAAGTAAATTAGTAAATCTTTTCTATGAAAACAAATACTTTAAAGGTAGCATAATGCATTTTGAGTTCACCTTTTGAGATGGTACACCTTTGTTGAAATTAGTTTTGCCAAAGAAAGGCTTATCTTGTTAACATTTTCAAAGTAGACACAGCCATTCCCGAGGGGAAATTAAAAATACATTAATTTCAAATTGGAAGAAAGAACAATTTCATTTTGTGTAATCATTTACTTTGAGTTCGAACTTTCGTTTCGCCACTTTTCCGCTATTTGCTTAGATTAAACAATGAAATTAAATGTCATTCGCCTATCTATAAGACAATCAAATAATTGATGTTGTTTCCATTTAGACCCGAAGGTTACCTGGGCGCAATCAGTAAAAACTGATAATCTACAAAGAGATTTTTTCTGATTAGTGCGAGGCAGCATCTCGGAACTGTTGCATGTCATCAACATTTTCAATAAAAAAAAAACAACCATTCACACGAATTGCAATTTTGTATCATTACGAAAAATAGATCTTTTTCAATATGATTTGTACATTGGAAGATTTTTTTTTCTATTTATTTTTTACTAGTCAAAGATTAGCCTAACAGGTGACGTGAATAGAAAGGTAGCGGGTAGGATTAATCCCAAATTGCTCGCGTGACGAAATAGTGCGCCATACTGTCGGCACCCTGCTCTCCTTTGGTGTATTTTAAAACCAACGTTTATGTATCAAATTGCCGAAGAAGTAATATAGAAATTGGCGAGATCAAAGATGGAGGTATTCTTTGGAGTGCCTTTACCCAATAGCTTAGACTTGTTGGAGTCAGCGAGAAAACGTCGCCTCGCATGGTTGAGTTTCATTATTCACAACAGAGTTAAAAGCGACATTTCACCAATTTACGAGAACTCATAGCGCCTGGTACAAACTAGATGGTCGTAAATTTAGCTATAATAATACATAAGAGTAATACAAACCAAATAAATATATTTTCTCGTTAAAATCGCGTAATATATCTATTCGGTATGATAATATTAGGAGAATTTATTCATAATGTTTAAGGCATTCGATTGATGAATATTGTTTGAATTGAAATGTATTGATTAGGCACTTTAATTTATTCATAAGAAATATTTCAATGTATTGTCGTTTTCTCTTTACGTATTCATGCAACTGAAAGCTTTTGATATAAGTAAAAGTGGAAAATTGCCAAGACTGGTTTTCCATTCATCTTTATTTTCGTTTGACTTAAAATTATACAGTAAAAGTAGATTGAAGATGATGCTTCATTCACTGGACCACTGTGGCTCCAATTAGTTTTGAACAGGACATCAGTCAAATGAACTCTTTCAATAACAGTCAGAGATGTAATCTGGACGACAAACGTAATAACTAGTATATTGTTTACAGTACAATATTCAAATTAAAACGTGTAAAGCCAGGTATTCAGTAGGTCAATCCAAGAATTAGGTAAAATCTAAACATTTCTTTAAGATGAAAGAAAGAAGTAAAACGTGGTACAATACCAGTTTGTCCTCTGGGTTAATTAGCCGCACTCCCCGGGGTCAGAGCAACCTTAACGTGTTAAAATTACTGTGAAACAGACAAGAGAAATGATGGAAAAGAACATCCGAGCTCCTCTGGCGTCTAATAATTGGCCAAATTGTATAGGGATTGATGTACGTTTTGTTTGAGTGAAGACAGCCCTGCACAACATGCCAGAGGGGGTCTTTATCATTTCGTTTTGGATAATTATTGAAGGCTAAAGATCGGTGCTAATTTACCACCCAAATCCCGTAATTGCTCTGAAGTCATCTAATTAACAGGTCAGCAGTGGTAAAACCCTTCAGTTAAAAGATTTAATACCTGCACTCTAGGGACGGACTCTTATACAACTGTTTATATAGCTTGAAAAGGCGTTGGCAAAATGGGCGGCGATTTTCATAACATACATTCACCTATTTGTAAACAGTATCACATTTAGCTGGTACGACACGTTTATGATTTGACAATTCATTGCTTGTACTTTCTATTGTCACTTGGAATTCTACTGAATAATTTAAAAAGCCATTGATATATGTGATCATTGTTGAATAAGTGCTGCAGAGAATATTCCGTTGCATTTCATTGATTTGAACGCCTGAAGTTTGTAATTTAAAATATAAATACGATGGTAAATTCTACATAAGAATAGATAAGCTTACCCAGATTGCTGAATAAATTTTTTTAAAAAATAATAATTTAAGTAAAGTATCAGATAATGACGAAATGAACGAAAGCGTATACAATGTTTTGATAGCCTTGACTAATCAATTATGATTTGCATTAATATGCTGATATCAAGCATCATATTTGGACCAACAGTCCATTGTTAAGAATGTTGCTGTATTTTCAAATATATAAAAACAACACCATCTGTTGCTCTCGACATGAAACTTCCTGCCGTGCTCTCCAAACGACAACAGCTTTTTGACTGCTCTTTTCTGGTGATGCTCCAAATACAACATTAGGTAGTGATCTAATGTCAACATAAAACCAACGTTTAAATTAACCCCCTTAACTAGCGTTGACAACCTCGCTTATTAACTCCTTGTCCGCCTACCCTACCATTACCCCTGAACTCCTTGTTTTCTCCCTTGATCAGAGGGGCTGCAACAGAAAGAGAAAGAGTCGCCCACTTAGATATAATTAGGGGAGGAGAACTGTTGAATAAGCCGCTATAGTAAAACTAACAAATGTACATACAATACACTCGCTGAGAGTTTGAAGTGAATGGACCCATTGAAAGCCCATTGTCGTGCTTTCTTCCGTAGCTCTCAGGGGGGTTTTATTGTAGAAAGTGTCTCCGTCACACCAGTCCACTGACTATACACAATATCCGGCACATGCTGACAAAAAGAATTTGATCGCATGAATGAAAATTGTTTTCAAATACTTTGTGGGGTATTCAAGCCACCCATTTGACTGTCGTCAAAAAGGCTAATAGACGGTGATCTGTCGAGACGAAAGGTTGATGTAACCACTATAATAAAATAAGACCCAGACCAAATCGCGGGATTATTTTTCGCCTGCCATTTTCGATTCTGTAAGATTTAATAAGCAACTGTCAAAATTACACATAATGTTACTGTAAGAGACAGTCTGTGTGCCAAATTTTCTCATTTGTCTACTATTTTGAGGTCATTTGTCCCCTGTAACTGGTTTGTAATCATAATTTTTTTTGCTTATTTGCACGTATAAACGTTTCTATTTAGTATTTTACGATTGATATAGCAAGCGTCATTAGTCAATATAGTTACATTAGAAACTTATCAATTTTTCAGTAGCCATAACAGAAATAACAAATTATTTCGATTTATCAGCAATTTTGATCAATTTCTCAAAAAACGGTCCATTGGTTAATTGTAACGCTAATTTATGCAATTACAACATTTATCGATCCAGTACTAATATATATGTGAAATGCATATTACGAAACCAAGCAGAACTATGTTAATAGGCGGTATTACAAGTTGTGCAATAATATATATAATTAAACAGCTTAACTTTTGACATCTCGCATTATATAAGTTACTTTTCGTCGACGTATCCGACTGTCTATACGTATAAAATCCTGGGGACAATATACGTAAACAAATCATAAAGTGGATTTTCTACCCTATTAAACGTGTTTCCTTCCCAAGAGAAAGTACATCTATATTTATCCACTACAATGACAGAAACTTTCTACTCTGTTTAATCGTTTAATTTAGATTGTCTCAAATGTTGATTTTCCAATTTAAAATTTTTGTACTTTTTATAGCGGTTTGAGCTCGATATTAATAGTTGATGGCTCATAACTCTAAAATTAAAATGTCAAATTTTGACAGAACTGTGATCAAATTCAATTTTTTTTAATATTGAAACTTTTTTATATAATATCAATCAAATTTTGTCATTTCATGTCAAAATATAAGATTTTTTCATCCCAGAACATTTTTTTGTATCAGACAAAGCGACATGTGTTAGGTTGCTGTAGATTTGGTTAATGTAGCAAATGGGGTCTAGCTTTGTTCATTTCGTCTAAATACAATAAAAGCCAGTTTCTGCTTCGATTACCACTGTTTTACGCCTGATTGGAATTTGACTGAATTATAACGGTTAGAAAGAAGTCACTAATCTTCGCCGACTTTTTCAAAGAGGAATTTTTGAATGATGAGCAGTTAATTTGTCAAACATAAAATCAAAATCACGAGGAGTTCAAACTTGGTTCTCGTGTTTTTCTCTGCTCTGTAGAAAATTCATACAGCTGTCGTCACAGCAAGGGGTAGACTTGCACCATTTCATCCACAAACATATATCATAATATCATGACGGTTTATTAACTTTCAAAACAACCCAACGTTTATCATATTTTTATTATATATTAAAGTAACCTGACTTTATTTTTCTATTTTCATTTAAATTAGTCATTTGATTAATATTGTTCTTTTTTGTATTTCCAGATTAACCGACCTTTAACAATGAAGAAGGATGGCATTCAAACCAGAAACCGAAAGATGTCGACGAAATCGAAGAAAGGAAAGAAAGGCATGAATTGTATGTCAGATTTCTTGAAACCATTAGACAAACAATTCGGCGGTTTTGGATCACCTAATTTCAACCACGCCATGCATGCACCCATGCCAGGTTACAATTACATGACTGGTGGAAGTTCATTTGGTGGCGGATTCATGTCATCTGGAGGTCATCAAATGATGGGAAGCTTATCATCTGGTTTCAACAACTTCCCAACATCAGGATCGTTCAATTCTTCATTCAGCGGTATCCCGTCTTCAGGGTTAAATTTAACCACAGCTACCAATATGGTGGGTGCTGCCATGGCTTAGACTCGAAACATAAACTCGACCTAAACACAAACAAAAACATGTGAAGTGTAGATACAGCAACAGTTCATTATCGGCGTTGCGAGTACATGTATACTTTTCAAGAGAGTGCTTTGACGAGTTATCAGAATAGTGCAGGAGATAAGTGCACCCCTTGAAGTACTCCACTGTCAAGTTGACGTTAAAGGAGATGGTTGTGTAGTATGAACGCTCGGCTGTTCTTTAAGTACTCTTCAAGTGACGTGGTCTAGGCATCATACCGACTTGTGTAAGAATGAGCGTCTATCGTCCCAGTCAGGAACATTTTGGTGGTAAAAGCCGGTTTGAAATTGGTTCAAGAGATATGAAGCTCAATAAGTTAACATCAAACATATGTCTGATTATTTCCGAGTCATGTTATGTAAACGAGTGAAGTGTGGAAAACTTGTATAATCAATTTAAAACATTTTATAATTGATACAAGTGAAAGATAACGATTTTTAAATATATACTCTTAACATTTCAAAATACAACTCAAGTAGAGTTGCGTGTGAGAAGGCGACGGAGATGTGAAAGAACAAGATAAGACTGTAGACTAAAAACAGCAATGAATTCAGGATATAGGTCCAGATTGAATTCTTTAGATTCAATATGTGAAAGACATACTCAGATTGTGACAAAAGAAGTTAAATTCTGAAAAAGACACATAAATACTCATGAGAATTGTGGTCGGACATATTTTGGACATTTTGTGTCTCGTGCTAAATTGAGATTGTTTTATTCTCAGAAGTGATTCATTTTCAATTCTCACGTTGAAATTACTTTTTTTTTTCAATTTTTTGAAATATTATTAATATTATTCTAATTTATGTATAATTTTGTATATAATGACGTCATGAGAGGCAGTATAAAATATTTTGTAAATATAATTGCATATTATTTCTTCTCAAGTTAAATCTAGTCGAACGACATTAATCATTTATTATAGAATGAAGATAGTATTCCACATGTGATTTTAAAACCCTCTTTGGAATATAAGAAAAAAAACCTTCTCGAATCAGTTGTACTTGACAAGGTTCACTGCCATCTTTGATATAAAACACAAGTGAATAGATAATAATTAAATGATATTTCTAATGGCATCACACCTTTTATAATAAACCTAGCTTAAGTTTTATTACGCAGAAGTTGATTTAGACAATAGGACACCATAAAAAGGTGAAAACAAATTTAAAAACTTAAACTAGGCTTAGTTTTATCATCTACACGACATATATTCAATTCGACGTTTCCCACTTTTTATGGGAAAAATAATTAAAAATTATTAAATAGCATGTAAAGTTTATATAAATTCTATTATAAATTTAGCAACTTTATGCCTGACTTGTCGTTGAAATTATTTTCACAGATTTTCTTTTAAAAAATACTCCAGTCTTGTATACATTATTTTTTTTTTTTATGTTGTCTTTCTCACTCGAAATTGTCTACGCAAATGCAATCATAACGTCAATGCACTGAGTGGAAATATAATTTTCTAAATGGAGAAATTATTGACATTTCAAACTGTAATGTGATCTATCTAGTTTCATAGTAACTGCTATTCCATTTAATGTCTTTAATTAGAATAACTTTAATTCATTTCGGAATATTAGGGTTATCAATTTTTTACATTAAAATAACGAAATCAGTGATGTCACGAAACGAATTTAGTTTCTGATTGCACAAATATTCTGTAAATCTGACCGAATATTGAGATGAATACAATACTGAAATGTAGCTGTGGATCTCGCCAAATTATGGTTTACATAGCTTAAACAGAAAATGATACATTTACCCGATAGCCTCTACCCTCCTGGGTATAAATGAAATATGAAATTAAAAATAGGAAATATTGATATAAATTTACCGTTAGTGTAAATATTAATTATTATATTAAATATTACTGTTTATTTAAGATGGAGGATTAAAAATACAATTTACATGTTATATTTTCATTAATTAAAGTGCTTGAAATGATGAGACTGCGACAATCATTTATTTGTTTTAAAAAAAGTGAAAATAAAACTTTTATTGAACTCCCTTAATGACGAAGTGTTATTTCTTCCATTTTAAAAATTAAAAAAAAAACCTTATCATTTGAAAAATAAATATTAAAATTTTGCTTTATCAGAAATAGAACTTTGTATATTTCTGATAGTACACGGTAAAATATGCGAATGGTATAACTATTAAGATATAGCAGAGGGCATTCTTTTTGAGAATTACCCAAATGAATAAGAATAACAGATTATGAGATAAAGTATTGTTTATGAATTTGTAAATAACAAATTTATTATTATTATATTATTAATATTATTTCTGCTCAAAATCTTGTACAGATATGATACATATCGAAAAATAAAAATGTGAATGGACAAATTTTTGTGTTTTTTACTAAAACCCGAAAGACCTTATCCTGGAGATACCTGAGAAACATTTAGACTATTGTCGTCATTCGTATGATCAATTCGAAAGTTTAGCATTCAGAGGTTGATCAATTATTTCACATCAGTGTGTTCGGGTCAGCTCAGTCTTTCTTCCCACATGATTGGACTGCAAACAAACTGAATATCTAATTAGTTGTGTAGCTATGAATGCATGATACACTTAGCAGTTCTTAAACATCTGACAATTCATATTACTTTTAAATTTAGAGCAGCACCATCACTATCCGTTCGACCAATCATACCTTAGTTTCAGAAACAGGAATTTTAGCTTACATAATCAGTAATAGTGTTCACAGCTCATCGTCGGGATTTGAGCCTTCAAATCCATGTGTATCCATAATTATTTACGTTTGAAAGTATAAAATTCGACTCGAATTTAGTGAGACTATACCATATATAGAAAACACATATATAGGAATAGACAAGAAAATTTATAGTTTGAGGTAAAATAGTTTGAAATCAACCGGTTTTTAAAAAGGGTTTGAAATTGGCAAAGTTGGGTAACTAGCTAATGTATAAAATTAGGAAGCTCCCGGGATCTATTTTGAATAGTTATATTCTCCAACATGCCCTGTAAGAACAGAAAGAATGACTCTGAAAAGTGTAAATGGTAGGTTTGTAAGGCAGACAAGATAGAATATCGTCTCCATTGAAACTGTTAGTACAACACTCCATTCTCTGTCTCAACTGTCAATATATTATAAGCTAATGCATTTATTACTGTTTGCCCTCTTAGTAAAATCAACATATTCCTCAAAGAGGTGTTGTAAGGATTTCAAACAAATTGTATTGTCAGAATATGTCGAGAATCAAACTACAACGTATCCAATTACCTCAGATTTTTCAATTACGACATGAGAAAACACACTTCGTCTGTATGGCCTCCTCGGAGAATACTGACGTCACTAAGACATTGGTCCCGTAAGTCCATTAGTTAAGAGTGTTTATTCGAGCCGTTGGATGCTAAATTTCGGTAACCTCAGTCTATTCGAACAAATATTTTTCCTACAAAAAAATTGGGAAGGGGGTATTTATTCACTTCGCAGTTCCAACTTCTTTCTTATAATGAAGACTGGTTGCATTTTTACGAATGGTGGAATATCACTGTAGATTTTATTTTAGTATAATATTTTATGACCTTATGTCTGTTAGTTCGTCCGGTCTCAGCTGCTATCAACATTCATATAAAATTCAAAAATATAAGAATAAGTATAGGCCAAAACTGAATTTCTAGAATTTGGACAGTATGCCATATGAAGGACGATTTTTCACTGGTACATTCTTTTCCTGTTTTTTTATTACAATTTGTGTATCCATTTTAATCCATGTAAAATCATATACATGACAACCATATATGATTTTGATTTTAATTCATTTTATATTAACAAATTTAAGCACAACTTTACTTCTGTGCCAGTGCCTTCTGGTGACTAGTTGCTAGTCACTGGTTTCTATTCAACCACCCTAATCCATAATACACCCTGATCATTTGCATATGAAATGTCGGATGTGTAATACAAATATCAATTAACTATAATATACTATAATAAAACCATTGTGCTATTCTAATACCAGTAGAAAAACATTGATTGTGTACACAAAGTAAGGTGGTGTCTATTATAATTATTCTAGATTCAAGAAGGGAGGTAATCTACAATGTATCAAAGTGGTCAACCAGTCTATTTTGGTGTATCTTGGATACTCAAGTTTTTAACTCTGTAATAAATGCTCAAGTCAAATAATATTTGCAATAATCTGTAACCCAAAGGGTAGAAAACCTTCTGAAGTTCTCTTCAGAATCTAAATTTACAGTAGGCGAAGTTATCACAATTAATAAAACGGAATTCCCGTAACTGATTGGTTCAATGACGTGTATCCGAAATTCAAGTAAGACATGCGAATGTGACTTGTAGTTCGTCAAACTGTATTTCAATATCGGAAATATAATGCTCAAAAGACCTTGATCATATAGGGCCATATCCATGTCGGAATTTTTCAAAAGAAAACTTTACAACTATAAAAAACGAAAGAAATAAAAGTCGAATATCTGTAAACTTGAAATCCAAGATACCTTTGTAATCGAACTCACCAAATTTTACGACCACCAAAGACAATTATCGCGAGAGTTGCACGCAAGTCTTGTGGGTCGGTCGAGTAACGCCCCTTTGACAATCATTTGAGGGGTTTTATTGCCATAAAAGTGACAGGGATTGGCAAATGAACGGGGCTTCAACC